ATATTCCAAAATTCAAGCAAATCCGTTTAGTATTGTAGGAGTTATGAGTCCTTCGGTTGAGCTGAATCCGCAGGCGAGTTCGCAGGCGAGTCCGCAAAAGTGTCGATTCAGTTGTCTGCTGAAAGTTGCTTCTGACACGACTAGATTTTTTTTATTTTTTTCTTTGTGGACAGGAGAAATATAAAATGATATAAATTATTTGGATTTCTATATAAGTTGTACGATTGAACTGTTAATAGAAAAGGCAATACTTTTTTACATTTTACCGATAATAACAAAAAAATCTTATGCATGACCAAATGAAATAATGTATGTTAGCAGCATCTATCTGCAATCCGAATTGTATAGGCGAGAATTGTAATAAAATCAACTTGATGAATAGATTAGAGACAGAACTTTGACCTATATATCTAGGAATTACCTGGCTGAAATAAAAGTGGGATAATAATCATGAACATAGTCGTAATGCACCCAGAAATAAACTCGCTTTATAAAATTCTCGACCTTTGATTAAGTTAACCTTTCCTCCGATAATGAATCATTATTTATTTTTAATCTATGTATTTTTAAGAATATTCTCTATCTCATATGAATATATTGCTGAAGATGACATTATTAATTTGGATTATTCGCCCAAAGAGTTGTCAAAGTCGTTGTTGAGCTATCTGGCATCTACAAATAACTAGCATGTGAGCTTCAGGGTGCGACTATCGACTGTAAGCCGGTGAACGTCTTTCCGTGACCCGTCAGTGCAGTTGGTTCACCAAAGGAGCAAGCATGGCGCAGCGGGACACAGAATTTTTCGAACATGAGAAGGAATCTTTTATGACCTTCTTGTACAACAAGGAGGCAGGAACTGTGATGGGTCGTACTGGAATGTCATGGTGTAAGTATTTAGCAGGTTTAGTGGGGGTGATACGGTGTTGGATTTTTTTTATCTAATAAGTAGGTACGCAGGTCGTTTGACTCGTTTCTCAGTAAACGACGTTGGACATTCGTCGTCCAGGAAGATCTTGATCTATCAAATATTTCTGGCCGTATCTGCACTTGTTTATTTTAACACTCTTTAAGACTTAAAATTCGTAAATTATCAGTATAAAAAAGTTATTTTCATACTAGCTAGAAGTGTTAGACTGCAAATAATCATTTTAGTTGTATCGACCTACGTCAATATGACAATCCTGAAGGTCATAGGAACGGGTAACCCCGGTTCGCGCTTATCCTGTCAGTGCGGTCACCCTCTAGCAGCGGTGATTCCGGTAAATAATATTAAATATATAATAATATAAACAACGCGTGTGAAAACCTAGAAATGCTAGTTCGTATGGTCAAGGATTGTTGTAGGCTTTTCAATGCAATGTGGTTGCAGGTTGTGATACTGATATGGATCGCATAGGCTACCTACATAATACATTCATCAATTCATCATACATGTGTGCCTCAGTGCCTGTTGCTACCTTCCTAGCTACGTGATATATTTTACACCTCTTGGCCTTATTTAAAGTCATTTCTTCTCTCAAACCAAGTGCTGTGAATAGAATTAGTGTAAAAATTCAAATAATTCATAATTTATGTATTTTCATGTTCCTATCATGTCCTATGAAAGGTGTATATTTTATGTAGTTATATTCTAATTTGTAGTCTGGGTTCAAAATTTGGATGAACTTTATCCTGTTAATTCAGGCCCAGGGCTCAGGCAATAATTTGGAACTTAAATATTGAACAAAATTATGAAAATTATTTAAAATGATGAAGAATAGTAATGAAAAGTTTTATTATTGCACTCATTCATCTGCATAAATTATGCATGCATAAATGAAAAGAAAACCATCTTAAGTTGTTAATAGTATGTGGATCACAGTGGATGTGTTTTTCTCTCAAATATTTGTATGAAATGTAAATATTAGATGAAAGAATGTAGACAATTTGTAAATTACTTGCTACATAAAATATGGTTTCACAAGCACATTATTGAGAAATTCACTTGACATTCCAGTCTCAATGTGCAAGGTTGCACAATTGTTATCTGTTGGGCTAGAAATCTTGCATTAGAATTGATGTGTTGCAATACTGTTAATGCATGGTAATGTTGCATTACTGCGTAGTTATTATATGGTAATACTGCATAGTTATTGCATAGAAATGTTGCATAGTTACTGTTTCTGTTGAACATCTTCTCTTGGATGAGCTTACTAACCATACTGACTGCAATGTTTCTAATATATTCTGGTACTTTAACTAACAAGTCTGCAACTATGTTTTCCTGTCAGATCAGAATATTTGCCTGTCAGATTGATTAGTTCAACAGTTTAGTAAATTTTTTGTTACTTAAATTCCATTGGTCTAAATGTTTTTAAGCATGTATATGATGAAAGGAAAATAATGACTCCATTAACTTTTAAAATATGTTTTTTAATACTACATGTACCAAAATTCATATCTAGGAATATGTAAAACAAGCTGTGATTTAAAATGAATGATTTGTACAGATAATTGAATATCAAAGTTTAAAGAAGTTATTTTATTGGATTCTCTATGTTCCTGGGAATGTGCACAAAGCATTACAAACATTTATATGTCTCTATAATTGATGTTTTTTCACAGCAATTCATTTCCAGTCCATGAATGTGGTAGTAGTTTGTGAACTTTATTCTGGGAAAAGAACTTTAGCCCCAAAAATCAATTTTATCACTGATAATTTATGTGTCACTTATAATATACACGAACAATTCATCTTTATTTTCATCTAGTTTAGGAATTATTGCTAAAGTTCATAATCGTAGGTAATTTGTGATGTCATGTTGGCAAACATGGTTAAGAAACATGATTCTATGCAAATTTTCAGCAATATTGTTGCCTAACTGAGGTCAATTGTTCAAAAATTATATTATGTTAATGAAATAATCCACAAAAAGTTCAAGTTGTAATTGTGTCTAATGTTCATCATTGTGATTTATCTCAGTGTACGTTATCCTGTTATCTTATCTGCAAATGCCTTTCTTAGTCTCTGTGCTGATGCTTGCCAGATTTAAGGAAGTAAATATGTTACAAAGAATTTATATCTGTGTATTTTTCTTCAATTTTGGAACACACTGGAGAATTACTAAAGTACAATGCTATTCATATGTTGATAAGCACTTTTATTTTGGTAGTAATATTCAGTGATATTTGAAAGTTGAGTGATCTGCAACTTTGAGTCCAAATCTTATTATTAGCTCAGATTTACTTGGGTTAGATGATCTCCCAATTCATGATATTATTTATGCATATTTCCTACACATTTGCTGAGTTAGAACAAATTTAGGTGCTAAATTGAATGACTACAATATGACATCATTCACTATGATACCAGCAAAATGATTTGTAGTTTGTAGGAAAGAATCAAAGCAGACAGATTGGTGTGGCTAACTCAACCCATGATTTGCCTACCGATTATTGACCAATTTTGTAAATCACTCATCATGATGGGATATACGTATGTCTATTCACCAGCATTTAAAAAATCATGAATCTTGAGGCTTCATAAGTTGCATGACTGAAGCAATCATTACTGTTTCCTGAAGGAATGAGTATATATTCATACAATTCAAATTCATTTGCTATTTAGAATTATAATGCTTTTTTCTAATTTTTGGCTTGTTTATATTTAAGTAAATTTGGCTATGATTGTCGCAAAAGCTGTTGGGTGTGAACACGCTTGGCTTCTGTGTATATTCTTCCTGGCAAAGTGGTTTTTCCATATGGCTCATTGGAGCTGCCCAAAAATTTCATGCCCTCGTGCACCAGAAATAAGAGTACAAGCTATTGAACCTAAACCTGGTGCATATACTCTGTTACTATATGGTAAAGGTCTTCAAAAGCCTATGTTTTGATTTTGTTCACTTGACCCAATACGCGACACTTTAAGTGATGTTCGTCCTGATGCTATGGCGAGGTCCTGAACGCTTACCCCGTACTTGGTGTGTCGTGGTGTTTGCGACAACGCTTGGTGTGCCGGGCTGTGGGCCACGATAATTAGTGTGCCGGACTGTGGGCCACGACACTTGATGTGCCGGACTGTGACGCACGACACTTGATGTGCCAGGCTGTGGGCCAACGAGCGCAGCTATGCACACGTCAAGGACTCGCTGTCGCAACTTGCAGCGACGGCGCGAGAAAGTTTTCATGTATCCCGCCTGTCGGGTGACGCCGGGAGACAACATGTGCATACAAACGCATGAGAAACGTCGCTCTTCGGAGACTGTAACCGACGTCAATGCTATTCGTACCTAGCTGAAGTCCTGTCGCTCCAAAGGGCAGGAGGACGGTAACCGGCCCCAATGCCATACGTACCTAAAATTATTATACAAAAGTTATCATTAGAAAACCATGTAGAATAATTACCGATTTATCAGGCCGTAATAAAATTGCAAAATTGAGTGTATTTATTTTTTGATGATTGAACATCAATTGTGAAAACACTCAATTTCAATTTGTGAATTGACTTCTTTTTGCCGTTAACTCTTTCGATCGTGTACTCCTTAAGAATCTCTAGATGAATTTGTTGTGAGAGAAAACTTCCCAGTAATAAGAACATTTTTTTGCCCTTACTGCATATAAATTGTGAATCACAGAAATAACTATTGTATGCCACATTTTTTGTAAATTTGTTAATATCTAAATGCAGCCGCTGCGCTTTCACGTCTAAAACCGCTAACTCGTCCAGTCGATCTGTAATTGTTCTTGGTTAATTGAATTAAAGGCGATGGGTCAAATTAATATATCACACATTTCAAAATTAGGATGAGAGGATTTTCGACATCGCTGCCAAGGTTTCAGTTGACATGAGCCCAACTCGGTAGAGGTTTCGCAATCGGCTTGCACTCGGACGCGGCAAGAATATAACATTATTGCCCAATTGGTAGTGAATCTAAGCCTTTCTGCTCTTCCGATCGATCTTTCTGCTTCCCAATCCTTACAATCGTCGCTCCTTGCTGCTCTTTCAATCGATCTTTCTGATTCCATATCTTCAATCACGATAGAGCGTTAAATCAGCCTATGTGAGAAAGTGCTATAAATTCGTCAATTCATTCCTTATCATTTGTCAAGAATGGTACTTCTATAAGTTAGGGGATAAAATACTAGAAATAGTAACGAAACTGAGACCGACTGGAAAAGGGTGCTAATGTTTTCAGAGATTAAGTGAAGATTATATTTGTTCTCTGGAATCAATTGTCCCTAAACTTGCATTTGTCACGTTCCAGTTGAATGCTGAAGAGTTAAAATCCTCGATCCTCTGTAGTCAGAAATGTATTGTAAACTACATTCATGAGCTGGTATTTATAGCTAGGCAAAAGTACTAAGGTTTTATCAAATATCCAAGAGTACGGTAATTCTTGGTACAAATTTTCTTATTTTCTATTAGCCAAGTATAGTTATAGTATTAATTTGTCAAATTGAAGAAAAAACTACAATAAGAACATTGTTTATGTGAATTACTCTCTAGTTTCCATCAAAATTTCATGATCAGTGTTCTTTCCGCTACAGCGAATGTCTTTTCGTGGGTGCCTTACCAAAGCAGCAGTAACAAATTTATTAATACGAATTATTCTCTGGCTTTTTATTAAATTCGATTGCACGAAAACGAATATTTTTTAGTTGTTGGGATATTTACTTGAAGCTCTGCAACATGCACGACTGGAGCAATAATCCTCGTATCTTGCACCAACGTATTTTAAATTCTATTCACGTATATGCTGGTGCCTCTCTGCATACTTTAGCCGGCGATATGACCATATAGTTGCATCATAGTTCAGACATACATCAACGAAATCATAGTTGCATCATAGTTCAGACATACATCAACGAAATCATAGTTGCATCATAGTTCAGACATACATCAACGAA